GCAGCAGCAGAGGCAGCAGCAGCAGCAGCAGCAGCAGCAGCAGCAGCAGCGTTGGAGAGAGCGGCAGCAGCAGGATGGAGGAGAGCAGTGCTAGTAGCAGCAGCGGGACGGAAGGTGGTATAGAAAGCAGCAGCAGCAGCAGCAGCAGCAGCAGCAGCAGCAACAGGCCCTTGGGGAGCTCACGTAGGCTGCGAGGCAGCAGCAGCAGCAGCAGCAGCCGGCAGTTCTCTCCCTACTCTCCTGGCTCGTCCCTTTCTTCAACTGCAGCAGCAGCAGCAGCAGCAGCAGCAGCAGCAGCAACAGCAGCAACAGCATCAACAGCAGCAGCAGCATCGAATTCCAGTTCCACCAGCGCAAACAACAACAGCAGCAGCAGCAGCAGCAGCAGCAGCAGCAGCAGCAGCAGCAGGAGGCGTCGCAGAGATTCTCCTTCTTCCTCTTCTTCCTCATCAACATCATCTGCTGCAGCTGACGACGACGACGATGAGGAGGATACAATAGAGAGCCTGAGCTGTTGTTTGTCTGCTGGTTTGTCTTTGTCTTTGCCTGTATATAACGGTATTCATCTTTCTGCTGTTGCAGTGCCGCTGCTGCATGCAGCAGCAATCCTCCGCAGCAGCCAGAAGCTGCTGGCGAGAGATATATCTGTTGTCTTGGGTTTTATAAAAAAAAAGCTGCTGCTGCAGCTGCTAGCTGCAGATACACCCCAGCATCAGCTAGCACGCATAGATCTCGTTGTTAATAAAATATATAATATCAAACAAAGGGTTAGATACTGCTGCGAATGCTGCTGCGAATGCTGCTGCTGCTGCTGCTGCTGCTGCGAATGCTGCTGCTGCTGCTGCTGCTGCTGCTGCTGCTGTTGGTGCTGCTGTTGCTGTTGCTGCTGCTGTTGCTGCTGCTGTTGCTGCTGCTGATGCTGCGAGTGCTGCTGCGAATGCTGCAAGTGATGATGATGATGATGATGATGGTGTTGGTGCTGCCGCTGCTGCTGTTGCTGCTGGTGCTGCTGTTGCTGCTGCTGCTGCTGCTGCACTTCTATCTCGCTGCTTCTCTTCTTCCACTCTAAATTGATGCACCGATCAAGCTCCTGATGTTTAGGGTTTAGGGTTTAGGGTTTAGGGTTTAGGGTTTAGGGTTTGTGTTTCAGGCGGAGAAAGCAGCAGCAAAAGCAACAGCAGAACTAGAGAGGTGCAGCAGGAGACTCAAAACCCTCATGAACGAACCAAGTATACAAGAAGACAAACTCAGGGTACTAAACCCTAAACCCTAAACCCTAAACCCTAAACCCTAAACCCTAGGCCCTAAACCATAAACGCTAAACCCTAGGCCCTAAACCTTAAACCCTAAACCCTTAACCCTAAACCCTAAACCCTAAGTTCTAAACCCTAAACCCTAAACCCTAAACCCTAAACGCTAAACTGTAAACCCTAAACCCTAATGAGTGTATAAACCCTAGACCCTAAACCCTTAACTCTAAACAATTTTTATTGAGTGAAATATATAAACCCTAATCCATATATAAACCCTAATATATAAACCCTTGTAAACCCTAGTCAGTACTATACACAACTCTAAACCCTAAACCCTAATTTATAAACATTAATAAACCCTAATCAACTCTATAAACCCTTATATATAAACCCTAATATATAAACCCTAATATATAAACCCTAATATATAAACCCTAATATATAAACCCTCGTAAACCCTCATTAACTATATAAACCCTAATATATACCCATCCATAAACAAAAAAAAATAAATCTA